GTCTTGATGTTTTTGCGAGGGTGGGCTTGGGTGGGGTGGGCTAATAACATTCGTTTGCTCTTTTACACATACGTCATGCCGTCATGCTACGCTACTGTGCGTTCTCTTGAACTTTCACACATAGGTCATCCTACACTACTGTGTTTTTTTTTGCTCTTTTACACATACGTCATACGTTATGCTACGCTACACTTCCACACAAGCAAGCAAGCAAACAAACAACCAACCAACCAATCAACCAAGCAAACAAACAAACAAACACGTCATGTTCCCCTAGAAAAAAAACAAAAACAATCAACAAACCTGCAGTAGAATGGCACATCAACCAGCAACACACATGGTATCAACGTCTGTAAGAGGCCGCGTCGGTGATGACATCGGCGAGTGACATTTTGATTCTTCAAGTGTCCAAAACTTTGGTAGTTTGCGTTTGTTCAATATCCTTCATCAAATTCGTTGTTCATTTTCTATGGAATGGTTATATTATATAATTGAAGAATGGGAAATGGTGTGTTTTACCGTTTTCCCACAATGAAACTGCCATTTTTTGATCCCGGTCTGTCGTGCAAAACTTTGCCGCTTCTATTTTTCAATGTTTTCCACAAAGTCCGCCAAGTTTGTTGAGAAAGTTGCCTGTAAGGGTTTCCGCACACACCAGCATACAAGTACTTCCAGAGCTTTGGAAGTCTTGTCTGCAGTCTTTGTGTGAGTGCCACTGCCTTGGACTTGGATTTTCAACCAATCCCATTGTCCGAGTGGAAGCGCAAATGAACGCACACTAGCATAGCATGACGTAAGTGCCAGAGCACGCCGGGTAGCGTAGCATGACATATATATGTGTCAAAGCGCAAATGAACACACAGTAGCGTAGCATGAAAGTGCAAAAGACGCACAGTAGCGTCGCATGATGTATGTGTAAAAGAGCAAGGAATCATCTACCCATCGGTCATCTTCCATGGCAAATTGTTGAATTATCATGCGCAGAGTATTTCTTTGTTCACTATGAAATCCCATGAAATCCTGGCACATGACCATGAAATGTTTGGTTTTGTCGTTTGTGTGTAATATGTGTGTCTGAGCGCACCCATGAATGTGCAGGACGAATCTGCAGATGACCGAGGAGCGTGTTTGCCAGGGGGGAAAGGTTGAGCATCCAATGGTTTCAAACCTCATGTCTCCCTTTTTTGGCCCTATAATTTGACCCATCTTGACCAATTTTGTTTTGCATTATCACAATCCGCGAAGGGGGAACCACAATCCATCTGATATACTAATCAATATTGATTGGGATTTTCTTGTGGGTATGCTAATCAATGTCTGAAACATTGATGATTATATGGGGTTATACAAATCAATGCAAATCATATTGGGGACTATCATGGATTATCAAAATCTATGAAGGGGGAATGCCGTTCTCAACCAGGCAGTTTTTCCTGGACGACACAGGGTTTCGAACACTGCTCAATCGGACATATTTTTCGGGAATACTAAGAATGAAGAGGATTTAAATCCTAGTTTTAGGGCTGAACATGGACAAAAAGGTCCTCATTTTTTTTCACATTGCCATTGGGACCTGCTAAAAACATCCAACAATTCGAAAAAAAACATGGTTATCCACTACTTTAATACCAATGTTGGAGAGTGTCGATTTTGAAAGTATGATGGTTTCCTGTATCAAAATTATGTTTAAATCAATGCTGAGACGGTGACGACCGATTCCATGGTTTTATGACCATATGTGCTAAGGTCCAATGTTGGACTATATATCCATAAAAGGGGGCCTTCAATTCACAGAGATTATCATATACTAATATGATCTAATATGTTTATATATCATGTATATATTATTGCATGATATTGTGTCACACAGTCACACATCATGTATCATAATATATATATATATATTCTTAATATGAGCCACCGCAAAATCCCCGGCAATACTAAATATGTATTGGACGGACATTGGTTTATGGAAATTGATGGAACTTGTTAAAAACACACGGTAAGCGATGGGACCTTCCCAAATTAGTGATACCCCTTTTCAAGGTTATGTCATTGTATTTCTCTAATATCCACATTAGCGATACCCAAATTGGACGTTGATGTCTGTGAATTATATATATATATATAAATGTAGCAGTTTCCTGCAAGCGATACCCCCCAAGTTTACCATATATCATTATTGTACAAATGTGTGGTAAGCGATGGGACCTTCCCAAATTTGTGGATGTCCTTTCCGTGAACCTAGGGTTTTCGAGATTGCTCATATATATATATATGTATATATATATATACATATACATCAAAACCCTGTTGATTATACTATATAGTTTCGCTGTACTTTCTCGATATCTGAAAATATGTTATACGTATATAATATAAATATATGTATATATAAGTATCTGATATACTGTACACCCATTCTGTTCGGACTCCCATGGCATGGATGTCAGTTTCTTCACTAGGCTTTTTTTAGCTCGCAGGATCCGTGGTAGCCTGACCCTTGCTGGGCCGTCACCGGCCACTGCCACAACTGGTACCCTCTGGTAAACATACCAAAAACTATGGGACATCACCATGCTATCCATGGGTAAATCAACTATTTCTATGGCCATTTTCAATAGCAATGTTTGATTATGTTTGTTTACCAGTGGGTAAGCAGCTTGTCTCACTGCCAAAGCAGGAGCACAGTTGTGTAGCACAGCAAAGTGTAGAGAGGATTTGTGGCGCTCGGATGGGGATGTTCCAGACCGGCTCTTAGCCTAACGAAGATACGTTTCAAACGTATTGTTTGGACAGTACTTGGGATCAATCCCAATCTTTGATGGTTTCAGATCTGTTTTCTCTTGGCCGAAGAACTTGAATAACTACATTCCCACCATAGCATGGGTGACGACTCTCCACACGAATGTATTCGATTAGGCACCGGAGATTCCCAAAAAGGTTCAGGCACCATATCGAAAGCAGGGTGCACCATATCGAAAGCAGGGTGAATATTAGATGTGTGTTGGTGTTTGGATATCTGTGTTTCCAGAGATATCCAACTGTTTATTGTGTTTATTGAGTTTATTCATTCCTGGAAACACAATAATAGGAAACAAGTTTTACTCACTACTGAATATTTATTGAGATTCCAACATCAATAATTCTGCTGTTTTAGGCGATTTCGCGTCAACTCGCCGGGTATCCAAATCTGGCGAAGCCTGAACGGTGTGATAAAGTCAACTCTATGCCAACGCAATTCCCATTGGGTTCCCATTAAGGCCGTTGATTGGTGCCCGGCTGGATTTTCCCGGCTCGATTGGCTCCTTCAATTTGGAGCTTAGGAAAAAAATAGGGCTACCCCTAGTTATCATCCAAATTTTACTAGGATTTTCCATGAAATAAAGAATCCATTTCGGGATATCCCCATGTCAGGAAACCCCCATTTGACCCCCGGCCATTCTTGGTGCTTCAATGCTCCATAATTCTTCTCTTGCCGCTTTCGCGCGACCGCGCGGCAAGCAGCTGAAGATGTTTCACCCCAATACGGACCAACAAAAAGATGCATCGGGAGTGGAGTATATGTTTAAAAAATACACTGTTTGGGAGTTTGGGATATATGATATGCCATTCTAGATATTTTTGGATAAAATATATATATATATATATAATTATGCAATGTTTGAGTCTATTCAAATCCTGTGTGGTTTCTATATATATACATACTTGAAACCCTTCGATGATACTGTAGTCCCTTGTGTAATTTTTTCAGGGATGAAAGCATGGTAAACATTTGTTCTGCCAAATCCTTCAATTTCAGTCTTTGTGCCACATATGAGATCACATGAGATGATCTGAGCACGGATTTTTGAAGGTGAACGGGGGTTCACCGGCCGTCACAAACTCCTAGTGCCACCATAGCAATGCTTGTCATGTGCCTGGAAGCCAACTGACCCGCTTTGGGACTGCGCCTAATTTCGGTGGGCAAACACAAATGCTTGAGAAGATTGAAAAAATCATGTCCTATATATAGGTATTGCATGTTTTTGCCTGTTCATCCCGTTGATATCAGGGTTCATGGAGATTTCACCAAATCACCAAATCACGGGGATAAATTCAGCAAAAACTCAGTTAAAATTAACCTTCAGTGATATGATCGACCAACTTACCAATCCAAATCCTGCAGGTTGGTGAACATCACCATTTATTTCAATCGATTAACATATATCACCTGTTGGTGGTTTGGAATATTTTTTTCCATATATTGGGAACAATAATCCCATTTGACTAATATTTGTCAGAGGGGTTGAAACCACCAACCAGATCATATCCCATTATACCTTCAATATATCCCAATGAAATGGCTGGTTCAATCCCCACATGTCCAAATTCGTTGCTGACATCGCTCAAATGCCGAACAAAAAATTATCCGTTTGCCCAGAAATCACCCATACATCATAGGCCTCGTGAAATCATCACAGAAATCATCATTGAAATTCTCCCCACGTTTGCTGCTCGAATTGCCAGGCGCCCGATGTCGCGAAGTCTTCCTCCGCCGTGTCGGGGCCACTGGGGCGTTTTGACATACAGGGCTGCGACAAGAAACGGGGCGGGGTTGACCCATTAAAAATCAAGATACATAGAGAGAAAATGGGGAAAATGCGGAGAGAATATGGCAAACACATAGAACAAATATATGGAGAAAGTATAGAAACATTGAGAAACGTGGTGATAAGGATGCAACAAATTGGAGCACTCACATGATTTGACCTGACCGGAACAAACACGTAAGCTATCCAAGCCCGGGAATACTGGTAATTTAACATAGCTATGAAAAATGGCCCATTCATAGATGATCTAACTATAGTAAATTAACTATTAACCATGGTGATGTTCATTGATTTTCCAAACTATGTTAAATTACCACGGGTATGTGGTGAGTTGTTGAGGAAAAGCTGCCCCCACTTGAAGATACCTTAGCTGCCATCGCAGCTGTGCGACTTGTTGAAATGTGGTGATAAATCATGGCAAATCATTTTTTTTGGCAATGAAACACAGCACAAATTGCAATCACAATTCCTGAAGAAATACATAGTGTAGATAGTGTAGAATTATCTAGACCATCTAGAAAAGTATCTAGAAACACTTCACATTTTTCAAGACGAAGCTAGGGTGCTCCAATGTTTGTGTTGGTGAAATTCGGTGAATCCGCTCCTGGGTGTCATTGATGCCTTGATGTGCCAGGGGACCGTGCGTACTCCTTGTCACGGAGAATGGCATGGGCATGCGGATTCCGTTGAACAGCAAGAGGACGGCACTTTTTCGGATCCGGTCGGTGATTTTGGGAAATCCTTGGAAATCCTCTATAAATATGCAAACATATACTGCTTGGTGGTGACTGGAACATGAATTTTATTTTCAATCATATATGGGATGTCATACTTCCCATTGACTTGAACTCATATATTTTTCAGAGGGGTAGGTCAACCACCAACCAGATGTAGAACATATGGAAAAAAAACATCTACAAATGGATCATGGAGGTCTATCGCTGGGAAAATCATCGATCTCTGGGGTTTCACCGATCAATAAACCAGAGAACCTGGGGATGGGTTTAAGGGAACAAAAAGAGGCATGCGGAATGGTGGTTTCATGGTGGTTTTAAAAAAAACATAAACGGAATATATAAAATATACTCAGAGGATACTAAACATAAATATATAAAAATATATAAATGGTCCATAGTTTTAGGAATGATCCCCTGTTGATACTCCATAAATATTCTCTCGGAGCAGATACTTAGGGAATGATCCATGATGATCGCCGACGAATATGTTTCAGGCATTGGCTTGAAACTACCAACGAGTAGAACAACTTCACCATGTGATGTCATGGTGATGTGTTTTTCTCATGGTCATCACTGGGGATGGGCCATGGCGGCCATGGGAAACATCGCAAGTTGAGGACAAAAATGCCCCCACTGGAGACGTGCATCTAGATGACTATGGTCTCTTTGGTTTCGGAAGATGTGTTTGGATATGTTGGGCATCCGCAAAATCCAAGTGTTTAGTTCATCATGTTTCCTATTAAAAATTGCAACTTTGTGAGGTTGAATCATCAATTTCCAGGATTTTCCAGGTACCAAAACCCAGTGCTGATAATCCCCAACAACATGAGGCAGTCAAACCACCAGCTGCGCGATTGGTGAGGATTGGCCTCGCTCGCAAGGGTGGCAGGGGCAAGAGGGTCATGAAGCTGCTCGGGCGAGAATTGGCTTGCTCCCCTCAGAATTTGTCTACAAAATTGCCAAAAGGGTCCATTTCGGAAGAGATGGGTACATGTTTAAATAGTGTTGCTTTCAGACAGAAATTCATGAGTTGCTGGGTTGAATTCATCCAATTCTTCGAGGATCTTCAAAGTACATAGAAATAATCAAACGCCAGAGAAGTGGGGGGTCAGCAAGGTTTTACGGATGCCTCCTTTGAGAACGTGCATCAAGGAATCATGGCAAGTTCTGCATAGCTCTGGGGCCCAAGATGCGAGGAACACTGCCCTGTATAATATGATAATAATAATATATGTTATGTCTGTACTTCTTCCCCGGTGAAAATGGTCCAAACTTGCCAGGGGTCGGCTGCCTTCAATGCCGTCATAAATTGCCCAGCTGAGGATCCCCATCGGACGAGAACTTGAACATGGCACATGTGAAACTTTATAAACCCCATCGATACCCTCTGGTAATTTAACAGTTAGCTATTGAAAATGACCCATAGAAATAGTGGATTTACCGATTGAACATGGTGATTTTCCATAGTTATGTTAGTTTACCAGAGGGTAATGATAAAGCTGCGGAACCTTGAACATGTTCTCCGAACACCACCCGACAAATCTTGTGAAATTTCACAAAATCAACCGATTTATGGGAATAGAATGGACATCTTCATGAAAATAGTATTCTCTGATATCCTCTAATCATGAAATACACCCCTCTAAACCTGGGTTTATGATATTGGCTATTCATTTCGGGGGCCCAATATGGGAGTATTTCAGATGATCAGGGTGATGTACGGGGCTTTGGCGATCACAGCCATGGCAGTGCCATTGTGATCCATGGTCAAGCTACATGGTGAATGCGGCGTTTTTTTTTCATAAGCTGTCCATCAACATTGGATCAATTTAAATTGTTTCTTTCATTGGATTGATATTTTGTTTCTTTACAATTTTGATAGACTTCAATCGAGTTTTGAAAGAAACAAAAACTGTCCCTTGATGTTTGTTGCATTCAATATGAAAGTGGGCTAAAAGTGTGCAAAGATGTCCAAATTAACCAGGCCTGATGTGCACCAACATGGCACCTTCCCTGCACATATCGCACTCATATGTTTTAAGATAGTGACCTTACCATGAAACATATGTTGTTTTCTTTGTACAATAATAGTTTTCGGGACAGTATAACCAACCATTCATTGAAACCATTGTAAGATGTTTTCCATGAGGTTTTTGACACTGCTCACTCAC